GTTTGACACACAACATGATGACTCTGTTTGCTTCCTGGGTAGCCGAGTAAGTGCCCGGATGTGACAGTGATGCTACATACACACATAATGGTTGCCACTAGAACGTGATATCACCGTCATCCATTGTCTCCTCGCCAAAACATCTGCCAAGTGATCCTGAAATACCCACCACCTTGTATCCTTGTCTCTCTGTCCTCTACAATGTTGCTTCATGATCTGAACGTATTTCTCCTGTGGACAACTTACACATGTAGAATTTGTTTAGAATTACACTTATCCTACATTTTTAGCTATATAAAGTTGTCATTATCGATACGAATTGATGTACGTTTCAATTTGTACATGGTTTAAAAAGTTACTCATAGCTAGATCTATACATATATACGTAATAAACTTTGGTGTGCTTTTTTAAAAGCGTTCTGAAGCACAATATGTCTTTATCACCTAAACCTGTTGTTTACTAGTGGTGTGTGGCTTCTCTTCCTGTGTGTGTGTGTGTGTGTGTGTGTGTGTGTGTGTGTGGTCGGAACGTTTAACATCAAAGTAAGACGGACGCCCTGTTGTTACAACTTATTGTTGTTATTGCAGTTTGCACGTGCGCCTGAGTGGCTACACGCCACAACTGTAACATGTCAACAACAACAACAACAACAACAACAACAACAACAACAACACAAGGGAAACTGTTGGAAGACATGGTACTCCGTGCCTCCAGCTTCCTGACTTACTTCTGTTGTTTGGGATTATTTTTACTTTTACAGGACATTTTTTTGTCAAGTCTTCTATCTTGTAATGTCAAGGTCACCAGATGTTGTTCTTTGTTTACGGACCCTAGTTAGTGTGTGTGTGTGTGTGTGTGTGTGTGTGTGTGTGTGTGTGTGTGTGTGTGACATCGTGGTTCTCACAGGGAAGTTACTCCTCGTCCAGGACTCACGAGAGGCCCGTGTATCTGGGTCAAGGACATGCACGTGCCGGGTGGTGAGTCCCACTCACTGTTTATTTCTCATTACCTCAGACGGAGACATTGAGTGAGGGATTTGTCACAGTGAGGTCGGGCGAGAGAGTTGTGGATTAGACCGTAGGCATGGAGTCTAGCAGTACTTGTAACGCACACTGTAGACCTCCATGGAATCATCACATTACTTCAGCGACCGAGTGGTGAGCCCGCCACACACAACCAATCCCTCTGTTCCGTCTGTGGCTCACACACAACCAATCCCCCTGTTCCGTCTGTGGCTCACACACAACCAATCCCCCTGTTCTCCCGCGTCTGTTTCTCCGCACATGATGGATGGCGTGACGACCTGACCTCACTGGCCACATGTGACCCTAGGGCGCGTGGTGATGACCCCTGCTGACACCTGCTGACGCCTGCTCTTTTTTTTCTTTTTTTGTTTGGTAAGTGTTTTACGGCTCTCGCAACTGCATAATGTCATATGAGCGCGCGGGACACACTAAACTTTTTCAGTTGGTAGGAAATTTTGAATTTTACCCGGGTGGCGGCCGAAGCCTACTCTTATCGATTTTAGACCACGGAGGGATCTTTAACGTGCGCAACTTTCACACGGGCCCTCCGAGATTTTTCGCCCTTGTCCGAGAAAGCTTTGTGTAGATCTTTTCTACCAGAAGATCAGGGGTGTGGCTGAAAGACAGCAGTAAGGAGGAGCCAAGGAGTAGCAGTCAGTAGAAATGCTGCAGAAAGAGTCATGAGCCCAGAGGAGGGGGCAAAGGAGGTGAGAGGGTGGGGGCAGAAAGTGGAGACGAAAGCAGTCGACAGAACATTGCTAGAGAGCAGGGAAGGAGGTGAAAGGAGACAATTTTAGAGAAGAATTTTGTTGTTGTCGCAACCTGGATTCGAACCCGGGACCTTTGAAGGAGAGGCGAATACATTTTGAGTGGCGGCAC